TGGCTCTTTTGCCATCAGAATTGTTGTCTAAAGGCAAAGAAAGATGCCCAACGGATTTACTTTACCAAATGGACCATCCCAACCTTGCCGTAATGGTCCATTTCACCTTTTATTGTTTATTTTATTTTTTATTTTCACTTGCTAAATACGGGACAGACTTGACTGGGGAAAAGAAAAGGGAGAAAGAAAGAGGGGAAAAAAACAAAAACCAACAAAATAAGCAGACAAAAATACAAATATCAATAACCTGGATCACCTGTTGAGAAAGAAAAAAGAAAACAAGCATTTAACAAGGGATAAACAACATCACAATGATATATGGGAATATGACAGTAAATACTAAATATTAAACATTATTGTGCAGCACATAAGATCAACAGAACACAGTGTGCTTTGAGGTAGGAGCCAAAAAGGGTGTAGTTTGTGTGTGTGATCACCCGTGTGTCCACCTGTGAGCATGGACGCGCTTGTTTTTTTAAAAGGTTCCTTCATGTAATGATCTGCTAGAGGGTGTGGGGGGCACAGCCCCGTCCTCCAGGGCATGAAGCAGGTGTGGAGGAGATCAAAACTCCAGACATCCAGAGGCCCCCAGAACACAAGAGACCAAGGAAGACCAACAGAGGGGCAGCTGCGCCACTGTCCCAGTAAGAGCTGAGGAGAGTCCCAGATGAGGGGTCACTCAGCAGCCGCGGAGCAGAAGCCAGGGGGAGTTGCAGTGACGCGCCCGTGAGCTCCGCCGACAGCCAGCTGTGCCTGAGTGACCGAGCCCCAGGCCGAGAGGCCGAGGGCACCCCACCTCCGAAGTGGCCCGAGCGAGCCCCAGGCTCCAGGCCCCGATAAGTGGCCGCCAAGGAGTGAGCCGGTGTGTACCTGGACGCTCACCCCCGGAAACAAAGAACCACCAACGCACCGATGTCTGAGGGAGTCCGCCACTGGCAGGGGAAGTGGTGGGGTGAGATAGGCCTCCAAACCTTGGAGGGCCTGAGATGTCCCCAGAGAGGTGGCGTCTGACACCCAACCTGACATATAGACACAGACATACAGGCACACACAGACACAAACATCCATTCCCACCCTCATGCTCTCATATGCACTTACTCCACACTCAACTAACGTGGAGACAGACATAAAGAGACGCTGTACACACGATCACACTCCCCAAGCGTACTCTAAGCCCCGGGTCTAGGTACCCTTGCCCCTGGAGGGGGAAACTCCACCTAGACCCAGGTAGTGTTACCCTTTTTTATATTTATATAAGATTTATATTTGTAAAACTTTCTCAGAGCTGCAGAAACTGATTAATATATGAGGGACTTCCTGATTTAAAGTTTGTAGGTCAGGCAAATGAGTTCCACCAGAGGGCGCTTTAATACAAACAGATGTCGCTCTGAAACGTTTGAATTCAGGTTTCTTGGGAAAGAGTTTATACATATACACCGACCAGGCATAAGCTTTATAATGTATATAATATATAATATTATATATAATAATGTCCATATATAATTTTTTTATATATGGACAAAATAAACTATTTAAACTTACAGCATGATAAGAGGTAGTGTCATGACATCAAGCAAACAAGGGCATGAGACAATCTGCATGTTCATATAGTTCAAAAACTTCCCTCCTCTGGTTTCAGCAAAGGGTGGAGATGATACAGAATGGGGTGGGTGTGGTGGGGTGGGGGATTATTGTTCAAATCATTCTGTCAAAGGGTGGAGATGATTCAGATAACTGTTGTGAAGGCATGTCATTGGCAGAACCTGATCACAAATATGGACACAAAGCTGATCTTATTTTCATTTGATGCCAACAAATCAAACATTCCTGCTCAATGTATCCTGTCATATGTTAGCTTCATAAAGTGAAAGCAGCAGAAGGAAATATAACGCATTAGTAAAACATTAGTGTCTGCTGTTCGAAGAAAACTTCTTTTTACAGCGAAAAAACCCCCCTAAACTTCTCCACAAGCACTGAGTAGGACACACTTCCACGGGAATGTGAAATTCACAGAGAAACTGCCGGATCCTTCCACTGACATGACGGCCTCGACACACCTGCACCAGGGCAAACCTCCAGCTGCCCCACTCCTGCTAAACAGGTGAAAATAGAGCAACAGGACCGCTGAGTCTTTGATTTTATTTATTTTCTGCCGTGTTTGCATCTATTTGAAAGAGTGAGTGTAAACACAAAAAATATTTCATTTTATGTGGTGGAATGTGCAGAAAATAGGTTTAAATGTTGAACAAATTTCTTCCACTCAGAGAATGTTGCATATAATTTAATTTTTGCTTGATGCTTAAAGTTAAAAGATTAAAACTGATAAAACAAGTTTTTAAAATAGACTTTTCCATTTGATTACATTTTATATGATGGATTATGCAGAAAAAGTAGAATTGGGATTGGAGCGACTGAAGATCTATCACTTCATTACCTATTCAGGGTGTAAATCACATTTTTAAAACTAAGTAACTAATTACTTTCATTACATTCAGTTAAAACAAACTTTATGTTGTTGGTTGTAAAGAGATGAATGGATATTTTATTTTATTCTTTATTTTATTTGTATTCTAGTTTTTTAGTTTTAGATTTCAAGATTTGGTGAATGGCCTACCCTTCTTAGTTTTGTTATTACTGCAAATTGTTATATTTGCTATAGAACAGTGGTAGGGAACTCCAGGCCTCGAGAGCCGGTGTCCTGCAGGTTTTAGATGCGTCCTTGATCCAACACAGCTGATTTAAATGGCTAAACTAGCTCCTCAACATGTCATGAAGTTCTCCAGAGGCCTGGTAATGAACTAACACACCACCCACCCCTTTCCTTTCTTTGTTGCCACCTGTTGTGAAAATTTAACAATAACCTGCCACACACCCAGTGATCTTGATTTGAAGTGGGTTTAATAAACACATTGCAATGTGGAGAGAACATCCCAGTGAAACACCAGGACCATCTCTGAATTGTTGCCCTTACATCTTATATGCAGACACAGACACTCTCCAACAAAGAACATTACACAACAGATCAATTATTATAGACCATTAACTGTTCAGTCTAAGAAAAGCTCCAACCAACCATCACCTCGTCTGCAACAGGATGTCCAGAGCCCTCAGGAGGAAAATGCTGTGAAGGTGCAATAAATCGTGGGCCCCACTAGTGATCACATTCAACATGCATACAAACTGGTGACAGGAGTGCTCTTACTATGCTAAAGTGATATGGTTAAAATATGTGGTTAGTACATGAGAAAAGAAATCTGCCACCACACACCATTGGCCCTGTCTAGAACCGGCCCTGGTGGCCATTACAATTTATGTCTAAAAAGGTATAGCTTCATGCCTCGGAGGGAACACTTCACTCCAGGTACACGACACCCAGCTGAAAACACTTCACACAAGTTGAGTTTCCGAGATTCACAGAATTTTCAGAAAAGCACTATTTTGTGATATATATTGTTATCAGGATGAGAAATGTCTTATTTCGGGATATGCGATTTTGGTCATATCGTACAGCTCTAGTCACTGGAGACCTTAATATTTACTGGTTCTTATTTAGTCACGTCCCCGAATCAAGATGATTGTAGAAGTTGTGATCAACTCAACCATAATAACAGAAAAATACTTTTAAAAAAGGAGTCAAGGTTTCTTTGTATTATTCCTGTCATCACATTTTTGTGGAGCTGAATATGTTTGAAAACCCGTTAATTTGTTTACTCCATCATGTACCAACTACTACACCTGCTGCACCCTCTCACCCTTGATGGTGTTTACGGGAGAGAAACAGTTGAAATGAACAGCATCGTTCTCAAACCGCTCCTCTTCCAGGAATGAAGCACAGGCTGATAACCCTCCCTCTTCTTCCTCCTCGTAAACATAGCACCTCTCTGCCCACATGTTTCCTCATTTCCACACCATCACTTCACAACAACTAAGCTGTAGTGCCTCTTCACTTCACTGTGCAATACCTTTTGTGCAATACTCTTGTTAATAGTCAACGGTGCAATAGACTCCATACTTGAAAATTGCAATTCACTTGTATTTTTATTTTTATTCCTATTTATTCTATTTATCCCCTTCGTATATATATGTCTCTGTATTTATATATGTGTGTGTGTATATATATATATAATATTCTGTAACTCTGTAACTTCTGTCGGTTCTGTGCTTTTGGAAACCGAATTTCCCAGAGGAACCCACCCGAGGGATTAATAAAGTTTTATCTTATCTTATCTCAAGTTGAAGTTGGGTGTAGCCAACATGTGGTGACATGTTAGAGCTCAGACTCGAGTCACTGCAGGAACACGTTGTTCAGATCAGACCTCAAACTAGTTTATAAGGAAGAGAAACTCACGAAAGCGCTTAAACTGAGAGGTGAAATGGCACAGAAAGGAGATCAGCTGGACCGAGAAACCTTCTCTTGTTACATGTGTTTGGATCTACTGAATGATCCAGTGACTACAGCCTGTGGACACAGCTACTGCATGAACTGTATTAAAAGTTTCTGGGATGAAGAGGACAGGAAGGGAATCCACAGCTGCTCTCAGTGCAGGAAGACTTTCACACCGAGGCCTGTCCTGGAGAAAAACGTCATGTTTGCAACTTTAGTGGAGCAGCTGAAGCACACTGGACTCCAAGCTGCTGCAGGTGAGCAATGCTATGCTGGACCTGAAGATGTGGCCTGTGATGTCTGCACTGGGAGGAAGCTGAAAGCTGTCAAATCCTGTTTGGTCTGCCAGGACTGCTATTGTGAGAAACACGTCCAGCGTCACTACAATACAAATCGATTACAGAAACACAGGTTGGTTTCGCCTTCCAGGAAGCTCCAAGAAGTGTCATCATCTAATTGTGAGATCTGCTCTCGTCATGATGAGGGGATGAAGATTTTCTGTCGTACTGATCAGTAGAGTATCTGTTATCTCTGCACAATGGATGAACATAAAGGCCATGAAACAGTCCCAGCTGCAGCAGAAAGGACTGAGAAGCAGAAGGAGCTCGAGGTGAGACGACTAAACATCCAGCTGAGAATCCAGGAGCGAGAGAAAGATGTGAAGCTGCTTCAACAGGGGGTGGAGGCCATTAATGGCTCTGCTGATAAAGCAGTGGAGGACAGTGAGAAGATGTTCACTGAGCTGATCCGTCTCCTCCAGAAAAGAAGCTCTGATGTGAAGCAGCAGGTCAGATCCCAGTAGGAAACTGAAGTGAGTCGAGTCAAAGAGCTTCAGGAGAAGCTGGAGCAGGAGATTGCTGAGCTGAAGAGGACAGACGGCGAGCTGGAGCAGCTCTCACACACAGAGGATCACAACCAGTTTCTACACAACTACCCCTCATTGTCAGCACTCAGTGAGTCTACACACTCATCCAGCATCAATATTCGTCCTCTGAGGTACTTTGAGGATGTGACAGCAGCTGTGTCAGAGACCAGAGATAAACTACAGGACACTCTGAGAGAGGAATGGACGAACATCTCACTGACAGTCACTGAAGTGGATGTTTTACTGTCACCAGCAGAGCCAAAGACCAGAGCTGGATTCTTAAAATATTCATATGAAATGACACTGGATCCAAACACAGCATACACTCACCTGCTCTTATCAGAGGGGAACAGGAAAGCAATGCTAATTAAACGATACAGGCCTTACCCTCATCATCCAGACAGATTCACTTCATGCAGGCAGGTCCTGAGCAGGGAGACCCTGACTGGACGTTGTTACTGGGAGGTGGAGTGGAGAGGAAGAGGAGTTTGTGTAGCAGTCGCATACAAAACTATCGGAAGAGCTGTGTGCCCCACTGAATGTGGTTTTGGATACAATGACAAATCTTGGGCTTTATTCTGTGACACAACCGGCTACACTTACTTGAACAACAAAATCCAAACTCTCCTCTCAGGTCCTCGGTCCTCCAGAGTAGGAGTGTACCTGGATCACAGAGCAGGTATTCTGTCTTTCTACAGCGTCTCTGAAACCATGACTCTACTCCAGACCACATTCACTCAGCCGCTCCACGCTGGACTGTGTCTTTTGGGTTTTGGAGTCAGTGCTGAGTTCAGTAAAGTCAAACACACATAGAGGGCATGTTCTTGAGTATCAGTGTACTTTTGTTATGATCTAAAGCAGTTTCTACATCTTCATTTAAATTTTTTTATTTCATACATGGTACAGCATTAATTCATTTCCTACACTAAAAACCTTGCATTCAGTTAATGTGGCACTACATCCATGCATGAAAAGGAGCAGGGAGAGAAGCTCATGAATTCATTAAATGCAAACACAAATACAAAATCTAGCTGGGTCGCCCTTTAGCTGTGACTCTGCAACATTTCTAATGCCATATTCCCACATTTTTAGTACCTAAAATATTTAAAGGCAGTAGATCAGAACCAGTGAGTGATGCATATTTTAAAGGAAAAAGATAATTACACTGTAAGTAATTTTTTTAAGTACTGGGTACCCTGAGGGTAGGATAAACATGTTGTCTAGTATGTTAGGATAATCTGCGATGAAGCCCACACTTCTAATACATCTGTGCAACTTAATAACTGCCTTTGCAACATTGTCTCAACCTCTAAATACCACAAAGTTACTTATTACTTTACAATAAATCTTGAATTATATAATATTTGCTACCCAGTTCTAAGTATTTTTAGGTACTGAAACTTGTGTTCTGAAAATTACCTGATATGTGTTGGTAAATTACTCCATAAATCAAAGGCTGTATTATAAAGAGATATTGAAAAAAAAACATAAAAAGTAGAACAAAATGATTTGATATGACAGAGAAAGGAGAAAAGTGCTTTAATAATAGTGCAGTAATGTTAAAGTGATAAAACTGGTACTTTACAATTGACAGATCTTGTATATACTCTACTCTTCATGTTCAACACATATTACACAGTTAGATAGTTTGATAAGCGAAACTATTATATACTTGTGGTTACTGTTGCATTGGGTTTTCATGTGATTAGTCGGTTTAATGAGTAGAGGACAATTTTTTTTGTGATTGTCTCAGTAATTTGTTAAGAAACCTCAACATTTCACAAGTTTCTTCTCTTTAATATATGATGACAAAGTGATGTTTTTGAACTGCTAACATTATTCAATTACTATTTTCTCTAATAGTTAAATAAGTTTGTTTTTGATTCTTGTCATTTGATAGTATTACATGCTACTCATTGATGATTGATGTCACATATACACTGATGTATAATGTAATAGCATTTTCTTTATATTGTAGAAGAATATGTAGAGAGAAGTTTATTTAAAGTGGGTTTGGGAAGCTTAGAATCACCACGCTCCAATAATCTAAAGTTCAGTTTCAGTTCACCTGCTTGATGTTTATGAAAGTTTAATGTCCTTTAACATTTTTGATCAGTTTGTGTTCTGTCTGTTCACTCGCCTGCTGGAAATGTCTGCTAAACTACAATTAAACAAAAAAAAAACAACCCATGTGATTCTCTGGTTGCACTCTCTGTCACAAATTACTCTAACGTTCATTAAGGCAGCATGAAACCAGCTGAACAGATTAAATGCTGTGCATGGAGACAGATTCACTTTACTATTAGCCTTACAGATTGTAATCAACAAAGCCGCGGAGCCTCAAAGGAGATACATAACCTGTTAGCGTAGTTTGCTGTTTCCTCTGTCCATCTGCAGATCAGCATGCTCCGTTTTGTTGGCTTCCTTTTTTGCTATTCCGAGATGGATGTTGTGCAAGCTGCTGGGTGAGTATGAAGGAATTCACCCTGCATCTTATAAGGGGGAAGTTTGGTTTCAACACTTCATGTTAGCATAATTTCCCCTCTGCTGTGGTTTTTAAGACCTTTAATGAGATCATAGTTTTCACTTCCTCCATCTGTGTTAGTTTGTGTGAAAACCTCATTTCAAGCTCATTTCGCTCCTTGAGGTTATAATAGTGTTTTTTGCTGTTCGCTCCCAGACTGTTGCCAGAACCTTTGAATCCATCCTGATATTTCTGTAGATAATAATCCCATTCGCTGCTCTATTGGTGTAGAGACACCAGATCATTCCAGTGGAAAGAGAAGGAGGAGGGTTAAACCTGACGCCAAACACAGAATGAAGCAAACTTGTCTGCAGCAGCTTTTCTGTAAGTAAAATTTGTAAATTATCAACTTGATTATTGAACGTAAGCAGTTAGTGCTTTTTCTTTGCTTTCAAGCAGGTGTAAACCACCTTGTACCCAGCAGAGGTGTTCTCGTTTTCTCATTTAAAATCTAAAACGATTCTCATGTTTGAATTATGTGTGAATGTTTTCTCTGGTTGTGAAAGACCAAAGTTTTTTTTTAAATTTCCCCTCAGGGCTGAACTCAGTACTGTGCTGCAGACTGACTCATGGTGCGTACATCTCGTAAGCCAAACGTGTCTTAGTTTCAATAATCAACTTACCAAAAAATACCCTGTTTCAGTTTATTTGGAGTGAACAACCTAAAGCATGTCAGCATTTATTCTACACTAAACTAAACTGCAGCATCATGAATATTTCCTTCCAGCTCGTCTGACTGTGAGTCCCAGCAGCTCTCAGTTCTTTGAAGGAGACTTTGTGTCTCTGAGATGTGAGGAGGACGACAGCTCTGCTGGATGGACTCTGAGGAGAAACACAAACAGAGAAACCAGGACTGAGTGCAATGAATGGGGAAGATGGTCTGGTTCATCCTGTAGCTTCAGCTACATCTTAACACAGGACAGTGGAGTTTACTGGTGTGAGTCCAGAGAGGGTCCCATCAGTAACATGGTTAACCTGACAGTCACTGGTAAGCTGAGTGTGTGGAGTTAGTGTTGATGAAGCTGTGTGTAAATGGATGAAATGCTGTAGTTTGTCTCTGTGTTGAGGTGGATCAGTGATCCTGCAGAGTCCTGTCCTCCCTGTGATGGAGGGAGATGACGTCACTCTGCTCTGTAAAAGAAAGACCACTCCCTCCAACCTCCCAGCTGCTTTCTATAAAGATGGCTCCCTCATCAGGAAGCAGCCTACAGGTCACATGACCATCCAGCATGTTTCCAGGTCTGATGAAGGCCTCTACAAGTGTGACATCAGCGGTCATGGAGAGTCTCCATCCAGCTGGATCACTGTCACAGGTGAGGAGCTTCACTTTGATTATCACTCTTATTTCATCCACATATTCACCTGAACAGGTGGGATTCTCTCTGCAGGAAAACCTACAACCACACCTCCACCCACCATGTCTACAACCTGGCTCCCTGCCTTAACTCCCACCCCTGCTGCATCGCCTGACTCCTCTACCCTGCAACTAGTGATCAGACTGGCCCTCCATCTGCTGGTGTTCTTTCCATATTTCATCTCCACCCTCCTCCTTGTGTCTTTATATCGATGCAGAGCCACAGGTCTTGACTCAGCCCAACCTGCTGAGCAGGGACTGGATGATAAGTAAGATGACATTATGGTTACTGAATAAACTAGTGACTCGTTCATCCTTGTGTTTTAACCTATTTACTGTTCTACAGTCTGTCTGTATCCACCTAATTTCATTTGAACATCCACTCTCAACAAATTAACAATAAAACAATAATCCGAGTACAGCATCAAATCAGTTAAACTTAAACTGCTTCTGATATGTTAAGCAGCAGAGAAGGTTCGTAATCCTTTTTGGCAACACCAAATGGTTTTTAGCTTTCAGTGGAGGCTACTGATACTTTTGGTTTGACTGTTTGTTTCTTTCACTAGTTTTGCATTTGATTAGGCTCATTGTCACTACTGGTGATATGAGTTGATACTTGGACCCTGCAGAGGTTGCACAGGTAGTCCTACTCCTCCAGGATGCCACATCGATGTGTGCCATTTGAAGATTTATTTTCTAGCATAGTCTCAAGGGCTAATTCTTATAGCTCTTTTTTGTAACTTGAAAATAGGAAGAGTTTTTGTTTTATGTGCATTACCTCATATCTCTAGACAATAAGTCATATATGGAAGCAACAAAGAACAATAAAGGGTGTATAATGATTTCTTGTTCAGGACATGCTTTGTTTTGTAGAGAATAGCAATGTTTTTTGACATTTTTGTTTTCACATGGTTTATATGAGACCTCCAGCTCAGCTTATCATCAATTATCACTTATTTTAAGGATTTACTAGTGAGAACATGTAACAGGTTTTTAGGCCTGGACAAGTTTGAAACTTTGGTTCTTCAACAATGGAAAATGGCTGAAAATAAATAAAGGTAACACTCTAGTCAGCTCATAGTTTTATAGATTCTGCACTCAGCCTTGCAGCCTCCAATATCATTGAAATGCAGCCTGATGCATCTCATTTTGCGTTTTCTTCACTTTTTCCTGACATGCACATTCTGTGTATTTGGCTTGTAACACCACACTTGCTGTCTTCCATCTGCCTCCTTCCTTCTTTCACATAATGGTATGATCCCAGTTTGTCTTTGCATGTGATCGGCTGCATTGTGTGCCCATGAATAAAGTCCCACCCCTGCCTGCATGGATTCAGCTCCACATCCAGCAGTTAGGCCGTTCATTGCATGCACACACACACGCACACACACACACACACACACACACACACACACACACACACACACACACACACACACACACATATATATATATATGACATAAGAGAGAAAATAGAAATCTCACCTTTGACATTTATTGAGGTTATTTTAATACTGATAAAAGTGAAGTGAGTGGTTGAGGTGTCAAATGGCTTGATAGTAAAAACTGTTTTTAAGTCTTGTAGGCCAAGCAGGCAGACTCCTGTAATGTCTGCCAGATGATAGCAAGGAAAACAGCTGATGTGCTGGGTGGCTGTGGTCCTTTCTGATGCTGTGTGCTTTACAGAGGCATCGCTGGAGATAAATGTCCTGAATGGCAGGAAGCCTCATGCTTGTGCTGCCTTCCCCACCCTCTGTAGTGATCTCAGGCTGCTGGCAGACCAGCTTCCATACCAAACTGTAATGCAGCTTGTCAGTAAGCTCCTGTAGACACAGTTTCATTTTATTAAATTTTACATTCTGGTATTTCGTCTTAATTCTAACCCTAGAGGTTAAAAACACATTTTTAGTGACTCGTCTGGGTAAATAAATGTTTCACTGAGTCATCTGGTGGTCCAAAGGGGTATTACACATAGATGCAGCCCAGTGCCTGTTCAGCCTCTGACTTATAGTCACCATCATATGATTTATATTTCAGATCTGATCGCTGGCTATATCCTTTCAGACTAATGCTATTCAAAATAGGAGTAACTATCAAAACACACAATTAGTAAATTAAATAGAAACTTCACAACATACAGGCTTTAACAGATTCAAACACTAATGGTGTCTGTTTGCTCTAAAATTACACTAGCTACTTCTCCTTTGATTGGAGTAGATGATGGACATTGATTAAACTTCTGTCTCAACTTGTGAACACTATTTTCAGTTGTCTTTGCAATGCATGATGATGCAGAAATAACATAGCATGAAACCTAATTAGAGGCCTGGATGTTTTTAGTAGCACATATCATCAGCATCAGTTTGTCAGGTCCCAGGGTCAATGCTTGTAAGTGCCCTGTGTTGTAAAGCAAGTTGGGCTGGTGGTGACTAAATAAATAAAGAGTTTTTCAAAATTGGAGACATGCTTTATTTAAAAGAAAAATGAGAAAGTGAAGAAACAGAGCAAGGCGAGAAAAGGAGAGATAAGAAGGGATAAGGAGGAGTTGTGTCCTGTTGTTGCTGCTGCAGAAGAGACTGGACATGAGACACAACTTTAAATCAAACTCATTGTTTAGATGTTCAGAGAGTGCAGGATAATTGATCATGATGCTCAGGTATACTCGGGGCTAAAGTACGGCGTTGTCTTTTTCTTTTCTGCTCTCAAAGCTTACTCAGACCCTTGTACTGGAGTGAGTAACTATGGTTACAGAAAGCCTCTCTGTGGCTGTCTCTCTGAAACACTCATGATTCATAATAAACAACCTCAGGTCATTATGTCCATGGAAAATGAAGAATGTAACATTACTGCCATTTTTATTTATAACATTAATTACTCCATCAAACAGAAAAAAATATGCACTCTACATCATTAATCTGTTTTAGAAGGTAATAGTGAAGCCTTCACTTGAGTGGCCTACAGCTAGCAAGATAGTGTTGGCATCCATTTCAATCGCAATCTGAATCAGAGTATTGTATTAATCCCTAAGGAAATTGATGACTATTGAGCTCAAAGTGCTCATGAGCTACTTCATTAATACTGAATTCTGCAATCTATTCTAAATTCAGAAATTTCATATTTTTAACGTGTTCAAATATGTAATTAGTTGAGTAGATGTATAAAATAAGTTGGTAAATAATATGTTAAATCATCACATCAGAAATTACAGATTTGGACAGAGTTTGATTGATGCATGCTGAGAGAGGGCAAAAAGAGAGAGCATAGGAGATTAAGAGTGCAGGAGATTGATGAGGAGAGGTGAAAGAGAGGTGAGCATCTAAAAGGCCAGACAGAGATGACAGTTTAAAAAGGACCATCATGACACAATAAGGAAATAGCAAGCAGCTTAGGAAAACTTTAAAATTGGATTAAATACTGACAAATACAAATAAATAAATTCTAGCAAAGTTGAAAAACTCAAATTGTTCTTGTTAGAGTTTGTATTGTTGATTGTCATTTATGCTTAGAAATATTTAACCATAGATGCTTAGAGGTGTATAATCAATTGTGTAGTGATAAGTTGTGTGATCTTTAACAGGCTACAGAGGCTTGGTGTGCATTCCACACCTACATCCTGGGAGCATGAGAGAGGTCATACCTTCTGTTATTGTTTTATGGTAGGATTAACGTAGTTACGTCTGTTCTAGTCTAAGTGCTTTTTGTGTATAAATGAACTGCTGGACTTCCTTACTGTGTTATCTAGGATGAGGGGGGGTCTACCCTCTTCCTGACCAAGGATGTTTGCTTGTGTGCTTTTATGACCCTTTGATCAGCAGTACCCGCCACACACACACACACACACACACACACACACACACACACACACACACACACAGGCAAGGTACTCTTTGTGTGTATGTAGACGTCATATGTTAATGAACCTATGCATATTCATGTAACCTCAATAAAAGAACAGTGGTACGGGAGAACGGACGAGAGCAACTGGGGTCAAGCGAAGGAACGGCGCTCTGTCCGGTCTCTCCCGTGCACGAGTAACATGAAGAACTTTGCCTACTTGTGTCTTGCTTTGCAGTGTAATTATATTGTCTTCAACGTTCCAGCGGATGGGTTCAAGCTACAAACCTATCAGTTCTGTCTGTTCATTTCAGCATCATTCAGTAGAATTGAGGGAGTAACCATGGTTACAGAAAGGATCTCTGTTTCTGTCTCTCTGAAACGCTCACAATTCATCAGAAACAACCACAGGTCATTGTGTCCATGGAGAATGAAGAGTGTGCTGGGGACCAGCACCCATGCAGAAGAGGCCAGCCGCCCAGCCCGGGCAGAGCAACTGCCTCTGCAAGCACCCTGGGCAATAGAGGGATATTTAGCATAAATATTTTAAAAGCAAATGCCTGTAAATGGTAATAAAACATAAGATTTTTCCATTTTACTATTGATGGCAGTGTCTGTTAATGTTAAAGAAAATGTACATAACTTTGTTTTTTGGAGTTAAACAAAATGCAAATGGTACAATGGATCTACTGTAAATCTATCGAAGTTTTGGTTTCACCGTTTATGGAAAAGTCTGTGAACTTCCTTAAAAACGTGGATAATGTACAGGCAGAGAATTTTTTTTAAAGTTCAGGCTTAAGACACTTTACCATGGGGTTTGTCGATAACTTATGGACAGTCTGCAGGGTATGCGTTGTTGTACACAATGGGTAATTTCATGCCAGTGGTTTTTAGTCATTTAAAATCAAACTCTGGTTTGTTCGCTGTTCGCCTTGGTGTGGTTTGTTTCTGCAGGTGTGAACAAAGTAATGACTTGGGTGCAAAAACCAAAACAGACCCATCAAGAAGCCTTACATGCTATTGATTCTGAATGTCTGTACAGGTTTGCAAATAGCTGTGGAATGAATGCAAATTGTCCTCATTATCAAGTAGTCCAGAACACAGCAGCTTCTTCCTGTATTTACTTTTGTTGCTTCCACCTCTGACACATGTGGCAAATAAGGGGATTGAACATTCTCACGTGGTTTGCGGTAACACATTTTAGGTCATTTGGATTCTTCTTAGTGTGAAACAAATCAAAACACTTCGAAAAGCTGCAAGTTTTCCAATTCAACAACTGAGTAAATGAACTAGGTGTGAAATGAAACAGTTACTGGCAAACAGCTGCTGCAGCCTCTGGAAGACATGTCAGTCCTCATGTTCGAGGTGTGAGTTGCAGAAAAGAATTTGGTGTCACACACAAACAGGTACACTGGTAGTAAACGTTTTAATACATAACTACAATCACATGTCACCCAACAGTAAGTTAAACACGTTGACAAGGTCAATAACAATTTACAGTCACAACAAAACATTTGCAGCATGAAACTAACATCTGAGCCAGGACTTCTGCATAATGTTAACTCTATAATGAGTTTTTAACTCTATAATCTATAACGGCTTTCTTACCAGGAGAGCTGGTGAGAAAGCCGAGAAAGACAAAGCTGATTCTGCGTGAGAGGTAAGTGACGGAAGTGACGGACAAGGTAAGCGAGTCATGTTGTAACTGACGTCAGACGCCGGAGATTTTGGCGGAAAATTAAAGCAAATGGTAGTTTAGAATTGAACAAATTCCTTTAAGCTTCAGTATTACCAAATACACTTATCAATTGTCTTATAACTAACAACATTTGTCTAAATCATCTCCAACACCCTGGAGAACAACGGGGAGAGTTTAGAGGCTCTCCAAGATTACATCAATCAGTGCTTCCAGGATCTTGTAATGAAGAAGGCCCAGAGTGCTTCCCCAGCCAAATCTGAGACACCGTCGTCGAAAAGACTTTGCCCGGCAGATTCCCTCGGCACAACATCGCCAGCCGGCAAAGATATTGCCGACATACTGGAGTCAATCAACAAACGATTGTCCATTTTCGATGCAAGGCTGTCCTTGTCAGGCTCAGGAGAGACTCAGAGGCAGACCCTCTCTAAAGTTTCACAATTTATTTTACACAGACACCAGGTGCAGATATATACAGGTGAGGGGGTACGGGAAGAGGGTCTTCGGAGAACACATGCACGGGGAGGGACACACGGGGCTATATACACAATCCTTCGCTGATGCTCAGGTTAGCTTGGACTCCGGCTTTAGCTCACCAAACAGCGGTCCTCAGGCTGACGAGAAGTCTGGCACAGGGAGGAAGAACAGGTAAGTTGCGGCACAAAAGAAACTCGTGGAAAAGCTCAGACTTGCAATGACACTGACAAGTGTTACACAATAATCCAGCGAAGAAGCATTCTCGGCAGCCGCCTTGAGAAGTGAGTGTGGTGATGAGACGATTGCTTGCAGATGTCTGAGCCAGGGGCTGGAGTCGTCATGACTACGCCCCGGTAGAGCGCAGGAGGAGAGAGAGACGCAACACAACAGAAACACTTGTAGCCATACAGAGTCAGCCGAGAAGGCACAGGGTCATGACAGTCCTTGGTGGAGATTCTTCACCGAGAATTTAAATCCTTGCGAGAATCCCTGGAGTACATCCAGCAGCAGGTGGAAACGCTCCCTGCTGAAAATGCCACGCTAAGGAAGTCGGTGAAATGTCTCACAGAAAATGTTACCCAGCTAAACAGAGAAAATAAAAAAATGAAAGAGACAATTATTGATCTACAAACTCGTGGCATACGTGATAATCTTGTATTTTCTGGTACTTCAGAAGCCGCTGGAGAGGACGCAGAGACTACAGTAAAAAGCTTCATCAAAACCCACCTGAAGCTGCCGGAGGACACGGTGAAGAACATCGCCTTTGATAGAGTGCATCGCATCGGCCCCATGCGGGCTGCGACCGGGAGACCACGTCCTATTGTGGCCAAATTCGGCCACGTCAAACAAAAGGAACAGGTGAAAAGTCGCGGCAGGGAATTAAAAGGAACGAAAACAGGGTCCTCTTCCCAATCCGACGCGGCTTCATCCAGAAGGGCTCCCACGCTGTGGACGTGGATGGACAGCTTTACCACGACCCCAGCATCTCTCCGTGGCTGTATTAACTTCAGACCAGATAAGAATCCGCTACACCCTTTCCCTATCCACTCACACTAACTTGCATTAACATCTGTTTAACTTATGAGTATCAAATCACATCTTAAGTGTGATTTCATAGCAGAATTAACACCGTCACTCTCCGTCAGTGATTTAATTGGAATGTTTCCGGGGTTTTTTTCTTCATGCAAACGTACACCTATCTGGAACAACCCTGACATATTACAAAACAATAATATGATAAACTTTTCAGATTGGAGTGGTAAAGGAAACAAATATTTAGAACATATACTAGAAGGAACAGAATTTATCTCATTTGACGGACTAGTTACACAATATGGGATCAACAAGAAAAGATTTTTAGAATATCAACAAATTAAATCCATAGTAAAAAAGAAATTTAAACCGGGTCAAGTTGAACTACAAACACCACCAAGTGTGGTTCAATTTCTTACTCTTAAACCCCCCAAATTACTATCCAAAATATACAGAATGCTTTCTAAAACAGATGAATCAATATCACTTCCTATTGCAAAATGGGAAGCGGATTTATCGGTTAACTTAGACCTAAACTTCTGGTCTCAGATTTGCTTAAAAACCTTTCATCTAATCAGAAATCCCAGTCTTCAATTAATTCAATACAAAATATTACATAGAGTGCACTATACAGGTCATCAGATGTTCAAGATGGGCTTTACGTCTACCAACAACTGCTCACACTGCCAAACCAATTCACCAGACAATTATATCCACGCTCTTTGGTTCTGTCCACCAGTTCAGAAGTTTTGGCACGAGATGGCCTATCTCGCACCACCACTTCCCCTGCCAGTGGCAGACGCCCTCAGACATCGGTGCGTTGTTGGTGGTTCTTTGTGTCCGGGGATGGGCGTCCAGGTACACACCGGCTCACTCCTTGGTGGCCGCTTATCGGGGCCTGGAGCCTGGGGCTCGCTCGGGCCACTTCGGAGGTGGGGTGCCCCCGGCCTCTCGGCCTGGGGCTCGGTCACTCAGGCACAGCTGGCTGTCGGCAGAGCTCACGGGCGCGTCACTGCAACTCCCCCTGGCTTCTGCTCCGCGGCTGCTGAGTGAGCCCTCATCTGGGACTCTCCTCAGCTCTTTCTGGGACAGTGGTGCAGCTGCCCCCCTGTTGGACTTTCTTGGTCTCTTGTGTTCTGGGGGCCTCTGGATGTCTGGAGTTTTGATCTCCTCCATACCTGCTTCATGCCCTGGAGGACGGGGCTGTAAGTCCCCACACCCTCTAGCACATGAAGGAACCTTTTTAAAAAAAAAACAAGTGCGTCCATGCTCACAGGTGTACACACGGGTGCTCACATACACAAACTACACCCTTTTTGGCTCCTACCTCAAAGCACACTGTGCGCTGTCGATCTTACATGCTGCACAATAATGTTTAATATTTAGTATTTACTGTTATATTCCCATAGATCATCGTGATATTGTTAATTATATTGCTCTCTCTCTTGGGAGAGAGAGAGAGTGAGTTTTGAGATGTGAGAGATTTGTGACGTTTAGCGTGTTTGGAGTGTGTAGTTAATGTGTTGTCTTGTGTAGTTAGTGTGTAGTGTTGTGGATAGTTTTGTGTTGTGTGTCAGAACAATGAGGTGACTGCTGTCTCCAAGTATAAAAGAGGAGTGTTACACCTGCTGCTGTCAGACCTGCAGGTATCAGGCTGCGATGTTCTCCTTTATAGTGGACAGAAATTATTTTTTGGAGTGGCACAAAATATTTGTGTGGCATCTTATTGAATGCAGAACATCTGATTGTTCTGTAAATAGTTTGAAATGGTCATTTAAAAAATCAAGGTAAAAGTTAAATGGGTGCAAATAACTTTGTTGTTTGCAAAACTTGTGCATAGGATTTTAAAATTGACAATTTATATTTGCATTTAAAGTTATGAAATATGATTCATTGAACATGTTTGTGGTTGTTACAATAAAAAAATGTAACTTTTTCTACTTTGATTTTATGTTTTTTGTCTGATTTTAGATCAATTGTGTTAATACAGTATGTCAAAATAAACTTTCTAAAACATAAAATTCATGAAAGAATCAGTGTAAATATGATGACGTTAGAAAAAAATGTAACAGTTTTCAGTTCTAGGAAGGATGATTAAGGCTGATTCACTCAAAGCTGAGTGCTTCGATGGATAGTCATACATAGATTCACCATGGCAACAGGTAAATACTCTACTTGAGTGCAGTGGGTTGAGGACTGTGCTTCATTGTAGATCATTATTTAAATTTATCTTTCATAAAAAAGGGAAAAAACTATTTTTTCCTGTTCAGGGTTGTTTACTCCTCATTTTACCCAACTTCATTTTTACTTCATGCTGACAAACCTAGACTCCGGCCAAATGATGCATTTAATGTTTACATCTAATTAATCAAATAAAGATACAAATATCAATCAAACAGAAAAGACACATTATATATCCAGTGAAACCAGTTTTTGTGATTTCCAACACTTATACATACACTGGACATTTAAACATTTAATGACTACATTTGAACATTTACACATATTTCAACATGAAAAACAATAAGAGTGCACTTGGATTGTCTGCAGCCTGGATTTGAAAACTACTCTAAGCTACATTTATTTTTAGGTTTTTTTGGATGTTGGAGAACCAGAAAATTCATCTACCATTGCTACGATTGCTGTCTGCATTAGTCACACTGCTATCATGTGTAGTATTAAAACCACATAAAGTTTTCCTTTTTTTTTAAAGCAACATGTTTTTTTTTTCTCAGAAAGCTCAGAAGCTGAACATTAAACAATAAAACTAATGCTAACGTAGACAGGAAACACTACATGTGGCAAGGCAAATTTACTTTGGGATCATCCTGCTTCTCATCCTATCCCTTGCATCCTCCTCATTACACTAGCACTCTTGCTATCCTTCTTCACTCAATCCACAAATCTTCTTTGTGGTCTTCCTCCATCTTCAAAAGCATTTGTCCAGTATATACATTGTATCTCCACTGTTTCCACTTTGCTTTTTCTTTCTTTTTTTGTCTCTGAACTGCTCAGCCTTGCCTGTTCCTCTAATGTACTAATTTCTATTTTTTTCCATTCTGGTCTCTCATAGTCAAAATCTTAACATCTCCAACTCTCTGACCTTCAGCTCAGCCTGCTGTCTTTCTTTCCCACCATCCTAAATCCTACATCACAGCCAACCCTCAATGTTTGACCAAAAAAACATATAACATACCACCTGGGCTCTTTACAGTTAATTTTAACAAACTCTTAAACAATATTACATGAACAGAAATACATTAATAACTAAACCTAACACTGAAGAAGTTCAAAATGTTTAAAGAAAAAATATTACTCTTTAATAAGCAGTTTCGCTATGCATGGAGCTGCCTTATGCCAGCAAACACAATATTTCAAAATACCTGTGATGACAACAGTAGCTCCCATAGCAAAAACAAGTGGCTGAAAAAATGTAGCTGGATCACAAGCTTCCAATCTCTGGTCAATCTCAAACCCTTCTGGTACTGGTACTGTTGGTGAGAATTAGAAGAGAGGTGTCAGACATGATCTACAGAGTGGGCCGTTTATATGGATACACCATAATAACATGGGAATGGTTGGTGATATTAAAGTCCTGTTTGTGGCACATCAGTATATGTGAGGGGGCAAACTCCTCACACCACACCATTGTTTTTCTTGTGACATTACCAATAAGTTTGAAGTGTCACATGACCCTCTTCCTATTGAAAAAACAAAAGTTGTATCCAAGATGGCCGACTTCTAAATGGCCACCATGGTCACCACCCATCTTGAGGAGTTTGCCCCCTCACACATACTAATGTGCCACAAACAGGACTTTAATATCACCAACCATTCCCATGGTATTACGGTGTATCCATATAAATGGCCCACCCTGTACTATTATTGCTTTATGCAGTCTCATCAACAACATGTTTACAGAAGAATACATAAAATTAAATTAAAAGATAAATAAATGCATGTTCCTTTCTCACAACAACAATCTGACACCTGTACTACAAAGCAAGCTTTGGATCTCAAAGAGTCAGCTCTGGGTTTTCAGCGTTGAGCTACATTCACAGTGGATTCTGGTTCAATGAAAAGTTAATGGCATTGGATGACTTCAGATGAGTATAGGCAAAGTAACCTTCAACACAGGTGAGTGTGAGCGGTGAGTGCTTGAAGCTACTACCAATGAGAATGCAGTATGCAGTGTACCACCGAGTGACGTTTGACCTGGAAGTAAATACAGTTGAGGTTACCTAGGCAATGGAATTATGGGATGTGTGCATGTGACCGGTCGTCTTCAAAGCAATGTGCAACGACTTAATCAATTCCAGTTTGGATGCAGCTTTAGGAAAGCGGTTCACTTCTTATTGGGCTACAACACCACGTGAAACTCAATTGCAGACCTAAGGCTGATCAGTCAGTTATCTGGAAAACAGCATCAGTAAGGAATTCACATTCACTTTATTACTGACTTCATTAGGTACAGGATGTTCAGCTGCTCATCAGTTCAGGCATCTAGTCACCCATTTTCATAGTTTTAACTGAATGAAACTAGGCATGGGGGAGAAAGGTGATATGAGTGACTGTTAATGTGGCACCAACAGCAATTGGGTTATTTCAGTTTTTCAGAAACTGCTGATCTGCTGGAATATTTCAACACAACCATATCTAAGATTTACCGAGGATATCCACCCTCAAGTGACACCTAGAGGAACAGCAGTTTTTACATGTTGGCTTCTTTTGAGCATCAGTACACTTTGGACAGGTAGGCAGCCTATCACAGGGCGGCACACAGAACCACAAAAAACATTCATTCTCACATTCACACCTACAGCCAATTTAGAATCAATAGTCAACAAAGCAAGCAAGTCTTTAGACTCAGGACAGAAGCCAACAATTGGGGGTGGGTTTAAAAATCAATTTCCAGATTCAAATCATTTTTAGTTTGAATAATGCGATATTGATTAATTTTTGATTGATTGATTTTGTTCCACACAAAGTTGTAAACACAAAGATGTAAACACTTTATGTTTACATCTTTGTGTTTAAATCTTTACTTCCTGCACAGTGCTCTCTCTCAGTGTACTCAGAGCCGTTTACCATCAGAAATCTCTGTTTATTACACGATTCGCTTACGACTCTGCTGTTCAGTGCTCTCCACCACTATTTTTTTGTTTGTTTCTTCTTTTAATGACAAAAAAGCCTAATACAGTGGAACCCCAACTTACGAAATTAATTTGTTCCCGAGGGTCTTTCGCAAGTCGAAACTTTTCGTAAGTCGAAGCACCCAGTGAGTGAGGTGATGCTGAATGATAAGCTATAGGCTAATTGCTAACAACAATAGGTCGTTCAAGGGGTTGTAACATGATCCGGTAGGCATTGTAGGCTCAGCCAATCAGAGCCAGTGGATTTCGTTACACGGTCATTTTGCCGTAACACGGGCAGAAATATTGCCATTCAGTGCCTTCGTAACTTGAATTTTTCGTTAAATGGGGTATTCGTAAGTCGGGGTTCGACAGCATCTTTTACAAATTACGCCCTCTGCTTCACTTCAGCAGCATCAGGTAATGTTCATATGTTGATTCTGGGTTTTCTTCCGTTTTTGTTCTACTGCAGAATATTTTTAAGGAGGTAATTTGCTATTCTATGTTTTATCCTCAGTAACATTGATACAAAGGTATGCTGCTGTGATGGTTACACCTCTGATGAAGTCTCACAAGTGTCAGCTTTGTTTTTCTACACAGATATAAAAATATGGGTATGCACTGAGAAATGACCAGAAGCATAATAGTTCTGACAGAGTCTAAATTGAATTGAGTCGAATCAAATCGATTCAGGACTTTTGAATCAGAATTGTATTTTATTACAATCAGTGACGATACCCAGCCCTTTTAACAGATAATGTGACAGTTTTCACTGTGTTTGTAAGTCACTCTGCTGACATTGGACAGAAACTGAACTTCTGATTGTTTAAAGCAGCTAGATTAATAAACCCAGTGTTGACTTACTGATCTAATAAACACCCTGATGTGAAACCAAATGAAGAAAAGATAATCTGGATATGTTGAACTTGTTTTGTAGTACAGGCTCCAGGAAGAAGATTCATTTCTTCTACAAACTCACCTATTGTCAGCTTGATGATTGTGATGGGCGTAGTCTTTAAAATGGCTGCCTTAGAGTTGTTTGTTCCTACCTGGGTGACATGACACTCGTACGTTCCATCATCATCAAATGTCGTGCCATACAGAAACAATGTCAATTTCCCTTTTTGCATGTCTGTATACATGAGACGTACTCGGTTCGCATAATGTGGCGGCTGAGTGCTTGGATCAGATGCATTGCTCTGGTAAAAAAGTTCTTTTTCTAGATTCAAGACAGATCTGGTCCACATCACAGCTCCAATGGACTCCTTATTTGGAACCTCGCATGGCAGAATGGCAATTTCTCCAGGTGCAGCGAAGACTTTCATTGGTTCTGAAACGGAGAGGAAACAACACAAAACAGTTTAGAGCTAATATGATACCAAACAAACCAGAATACACTGCATGCTAAATATTTAAAAATTACTGAGAATCACATGAGGAGAATAATTTAGATTCCCCACAACACAAATAGAAATCAACTATAAATATAAACCTGTCACAATCTAAGGATCGTCTATTAGATCAAGTAACACTGGAAAAAATGTCGCTCTCCCTCAAACAGAAACTTACATTACAGAATTACACTAACATGCTCCATGTCATGGTCCCTGTGCCTCACCAGCTGATTCTGTATTAGGCAACATGTGTTTTCTCTCTCTCTCTCTCTCTCTCCTGCCGGGGCGATGCTCATTATGGGCTCCCGCCCCTGGCCCACGCACCTGCTGCCGATCGGGATAATCACAAGGCCGATTTAAGACAGCAGCACTGTGTCACTCGTCGCTGGATCGTTGAGTTATCAGCGTCAGTCGCTCAGTAGATTGTAAATAAGGATCTGTGAGTTCGTTCCGTCTGTTCGCCTCTAACTATAATCTCTGTGTACAGATCTATCCCGGACCTTTCCCTGCCTGCCTGTCATCCCGTGGACGAGTGAGTGGATGGTGTTTCCCCAGTGTGGGGAGTGAAGAGAGAGAGCCTTTGGAGGGCGTCAGATTCCCGTCTTTTCCCTCACATACCCCGGAACCCTGGACCCCCCTCCCCTCCCTCCAGCACTTTGTAAATAGCATCACCTGGTGTCGTTGTGTAAATAAAATCTGTAAATCCTGTAAGGAGTCCCGGTCTGCGCCTGAGTCCGTTAACTGAAACCTGACACTCCAGAGTGGTCAAATGTCACTCAGGTTCCTATTTATTGGATTGTGGTTCATTGTTGCTTAACATTTCTCTTTTGTTATATTAATTTCTACATTCATCATGTCCTTTTATCTTAAAAATGACTAAAAGAGTAGTTGTAAAATAATAAACTGATCATCTGAAGAGATTTCAGAGCTCACAGTACAGAAACAGCTTTAGTGAAGGTTTAAAAAGGTTTAAGGTTCGTATGGCCTCTGACAGTGGATTCATCTCTGTGCTTGACCTACTGGAACTAAATGCAGTATTCAGTAGAGATGGCTACCAGTATCCGGTGCCATTATGGCAGACCGAAAAGCAGCGCACATTCCGGTGCTTCATTTCGGTGCTTTCTTTTTTTCCTGAGATGTCATACACTTTAGATTCTAGCCAATCATTTTACATTTGCAAGCGTAGTAGGCGGGTCCAGGTACGTACGTTTATTTAGAGCAGAGCTACAGATTAAAAATGCCCAAGGCGGAGCGGTCAAAAGTCTGTCTGTACTTCACAGCAAAAGATGCAAACTCAGCAGCCTGCAACAAGTGCTATTATGCTGATACTGTGATACTGTCAAAGGAGGTAACACCTCGAATCTGATGAAACACCTGGCATAGCGTTTTTTTAAAACCCGAGAAATGCACCGTATTTGATAGCTTGCTGCGAGACCTCACACCGAGCACATCTACTGTGTGGTGCCTGTTATCGACCCGGAGTTAGCAACATGAACCCGAAGAGGAGAGTCCTGGCCCCTAGCCCTGCCAGTGTAGCAGAAATGATGAGGATGATGATGGCAGCAGCAGCCGTTCTTCTCTGCGTGAGTAGCTTAATGTTGTTCGTGTGTAATTTACATTGAGTAGGCTAACCACGTTATTACATTAATGCATGTAAGGTGAACTAGCAAACACCGTCGTAGTTACATGCGGCTGTCTTCTTGTTTGATGGCAGATACTCCCTTCACCCTGGCCAAAAAGGCTAAAATGACCAAAGAAAAAGAGGAAAACAGCTAAACATGAGAGGTTTTTGGACAAAGTTGGTGGGTTTTTTTCCATTGTTTCAGCACTGCTTCCAGCCAAGAGTGATACCATATATGCCCCATAGCTGCAGAAAAGGCTAACATTGTTATCTTTTTACAAAAAACAGCTAAACATGAGAGGTTTTTGGACAAAGTTTGTGTTCTTGATTCTTTAAGCACCGGTTCGAGCACCGTTTAAGCACTGGCACCGTTTCCAAAGTACCGGTTTGGTACTGGTATCGGATAAAACCTAAACAATACCCATCCCTAGTGTTCAGTACTGTTGACTGTAATATTCTATTAGGGTGATTAGAGGATAATGTAGGTATTGCAGGTAGTGCGCTCCAGTGGTTTTCACAAAGGACTACATAAAGTGCAATACAGTGGTCCCTCGCTATAACGTGGTTCACCTTTCGCTGTTTCGCAGATTTTTTTGGGGTGTCATTTTGCATGCTTTTTTAAAAAAAATTTTTTTTACCAGTGCAATTTGTTCTGTGTCCTGATTGGCTGTAGACCATTGTCAATCAATCTCCTCCATGCCGTGTCTCCAGTACAGTACAGAATGCGTTCAGCTTGTCAATAATCTGGCAGTGTCGCACTCAAGTGCTGTACAGTATGTTTGTAAGTTTTCTCCCCAACAAACACAACAATGTAGACGAAACATTTTGCACTGTCAAAGGCACCTGCGCTAGCACCCAAAAGGCAGAGGAAGATGCTAACCATTGCACAAAAAGTTGGACTTCTGGACATGCTAAAGGAAGGTAGAAGTTACCGTATTTTCCGTATTGTGAGGCGCATTATGCAAAACAAAACAGTCAGATAAGTCAAACTCTACTCAACTCATTCTTCTTGCTTCTTCTACTTCCATACCATTGATTCATTAATGTTGAGTTCTCTGGCAGCTGCTCTATTCTCATGTTCTGGACCTGAAAACAGAGTTTGATCTTTGGTTTCATTCTATAATACTGGACTTACTTTTCTACCAAGGTTTGAACTTTGAGAGAGTTTAAACAAGACAGAAAAGTGTGAAAATGTTCAAGGTTGTCTGAGAAAAGTGTATAAAGTGTGTAGTTAGGGGTTTTACAGCCTTAAAACATCTATAAAATTGTTAAAAAATAATAATAAAGCTGACTATGCAGATTTCACCTATCGCGGGTTATTTTTAGAACGTACCTCCTTTGATGAACGAGCGACCACTGTATGCAAAAATCGCAAAAAAACAAAACAAAGACAGCGACACAGGCACAACAGACTGATACAGTCACAAGACAGTGCAGACACTGCAACAATGACAGTGGGTTGTGCAAAAGACTGATCACTGTGTGTGTATGAGACTGGGCAGATAAGTGCTTGAAGTAGTGACCTGTATGAACGTGTGTGTGTTTGTGTGTGTGTGTCAGTCCACTCATTGAGTGTTCAGGAGTCTGACATGGGGAAGAAACTGTTTTGCAGTCTGGCAATGAGGGCCCGGTACCTCTGGTACCTCTTACCAGAAGGCAGCAGGGTAAAGAGTGTGTAGGAGGGGTGTGTAGGTTCTTCCACAACTGTGGTTGCTTTGCAGATGCAGCAGGTGTGATCAATGTCTGTGATGGAGGGAAGTGAGGCTCTGTGGTAAAGGCTGTGTAAATTCCAATAAAACTGAGGTTATTGTACTCGGCCCTAAAGATGTTAGAAATATGGTATCTAACCAGATTCTTACTCTGGATGGCATTACCTTGACCTCCAGTAACACTGTGAGGAACCCTGGAGTAATTTTTGACCAAGACATGTCCTTCGGTGCACATAATAAACAAATATGTAAGACTGCTTTCTGCAACATCTCTAAAATTAGAAATATCCTGTCTCAGAGTGACGCTGAAAAACTAGTTCATACAGTAGTCCAGGCTGGACTACTGTAATTCATTAATATCAGGATGTCCTAAAAAGTACATCCTGAGTACTGCTGCTCACCTACAAGGTCGTAAATAATCAGGCCCCATCTTATCTTAATGACCTTGTAGTACCATATCACCCTATTAGAGCACTTCGCTCTCGCTCTGCAGGCCTACTTGTTGTTCCTAGAGTATTTAAAAGTAGAATGGGAGCCAGCCTTTATGCCCCTCTTCTGTGGAATCAGCTCCCAGTTTGGATCACCTGAATCCTCTCTTATTTATGCTGGATGTTTTTAAACACCTTTCTCCATTTAATTATTAGTTATTATTAATCTCTGGCTGTCTTTCGCAGCATGTTACCCCCCTCACCCAGAACTGGTCATGGCATGTGGCCGCCCCTCCCTGAGTTAGGGGGGAGCTCGCACCATCCGCTCCGAGCTCCCTGACCTGCACTCAATCTACAGCAGGCGGTGCTGGACCAAGGCCAGGAAGATCGTGAAGGACCTCAGCCATGCCAACAACGGACTGTTCTCTCTGTTGAGGTCAGGAAAGCAATTCCGCTCCCTGAAGACCAACACAGAGAGACTGAGGAGGAGCTTCTTCCCGCAGGCGATACGGTCTCTCAATCACACCACCACACAGTACTGACCCACACATATGGTTCTTACACACACACTGGACTTTCTGGACATTGTTATCACTTAAATCACTTTAAGCATATTTGCACTGCAGAAGACAATGTGGATTGCACAGCACTGGTCACTACATTCTTCATTTCCAGTTAATATTTGTACAGCTGCTGTTATTGTGTATTTATTTATTTATATTTCTTCATACATTCTTATATAGTTCTATATTGTGTATTTTGTTGTACAGTTATTTTATTTTCAACTTTAATTTATATATTTTATCTTATTCTTTCCCAGTTAAATTTACCCTTCATTCTAATTTGTGTTGTACAGTTATTTCATTTTTAACCTTAATTTATATTTTATTCCTTCCTAGTTAAATTTACCCTTTTTAATTTTTCATATTTATTTCCTATCTTATTCATAGCCTTTTCCTTTTTTGTTTTCTTTAGGTCACGAGCAGTTGTCCAAGCATTTCACTACATATCGTACTGTGTATGACTGTGTACGTGACAAATAAAATTTGAATTTGAATTTGATTCTGCTGGAGGTTTCTTCCTGTTAATATTTTTTTCTTCCCACTGTCACCGAAGTGCTCGCTCATAGGGGGTCATATATCATATTTTCTCTCTTGTCTTTTTATTATTGTAGGGTCTTTACCTTGCAGTATAAAGTGCCTCAATGCAACTGTTGTTGTGACTATATAAATAAAGTTGATTTGAATTGAATTACTGGTGACATCAATTTGGTCATGTTAATATTTCTGATTGTTTAAAGCAGCTAGTTTAATAAATACAGTGTAGACTTACTGATATAATAACCACCTTCATGTGAAGCCAAATAAAGGAAAAGATCATCTGGATATGTTGAACTTGTTTTCCAGGAAGAAGATTAATTTCTTCTACAAACTCACCCATTGTCAGATTGAGAGTGTTGATTGGCTTGGTCTTCAAAATGGCCGCCTTAGAGTTGTTTGTTCCTGTCTGGGCGACATGACACTCATACGTTCCAATCTCAGCAAATGTCGCCTCCACTATATACAAAGACAATTGACCATTCCACATGTCTGTATGCAGCAGATATATGCGACTCAGAGAAGCTGACTTCTGAGTGTCTGGATCAGACGCATTGCTTTGGTAAAAAAATACATATTTTGAATCCAAGTAAGACCTGGTCCACATCACAGCCCCAATTGATATATCATTTGGAACGTGACATGGCAGAATGACATTATCTCCAGGAAAAATCTTGAGGGTTGTGGAGTCTGAAAGAGACAAAAAATACAACACAGACTAGTAAGCTGGAGTTACAGCTGATACCAAACAAACCAGAATACACTGCATGCTGAATATTAATACAATTACTGAGAATCACATGAGGAGAAACATTCAGAGAGAATCGGTTGCCCACGACACAGATAGAAATGAAATATAAATTTAAACCTTTTACATGTAAGAATCCATTAGATCAAGTAACACTGGAAAATATGTCTCCCTCCCTCAAACAGAAACTTCCTGCTCAGTTGTTTTTGTACACATGTTACATTGCAGCAAAAAAAACCTGAAATGTCTGGTTCCAGCAGTCTCCTGTCAAAAGCTTTTAGACCCAACATGATGTGTCTCAGATAGGATGAGTCACCCACTTCACCCCAAATCTACAGGTACCATTAGAGTTACCTGTACCTGAGCTGGACTGCAGTAAACATAGTTTAAATGAAAATCACATGTGAGCTTTAGACACAATCAGGTAAAGACTAGTAGTTGAAAGTATGGAGATAATTCAAAGACAAAGGCATCAATTTAATTTAAAAAAGAAAAAGCCTCTCCTCTCCCATCATCAATTTGCCTGAAAAAAAATTACACAGAAAAAAACACTCTTACAACACTAATAGAAAATGTATAAATAAATGCCAAAATGTCAAAAATCAATTTTCAGACAATAAGAGAGTACACTATATTATATTAACAGAAACTAGAATGATTTCAGTTTCTGTGAACACCTGGGGAATATCACACTGAAGCTGGACCTTTGTACTTTTAAGCTTTAATATCTGTAAAACCATTAACAACGATTTGCACAGTAGAAGTTTATGCCTTAAATATGGAAATTTGTGCATAAAATATCAATCCCCGCTACACTGTGATTTCAATTGTTCACATTGAGAGTTCACATTCATACAGCCATGCGATGTCCCTTAAAGTGCTTTTTTAGATAAAAGAATTTTAAAATATCCTCTACAAAGAGTATCAGCAAAATTTCCAACAACACCCTGATACCTGCTCATATGTAATCGAACATTCAATTTTCTCAAACAAAAAATTATTACAACAGGGACCTAAAAGTTTGCATAATTTACATTGAGAAGTTTATATTTGCCTTAATTTTTTCCCGGCAAATCTGGGATGATCAGGTGAGAGGTATTTAACGAACTGATATGGAAAGATTCCAAAAATGAAACATTTTTGAATTAAAATCACTTGAATTAAAAGCCTTCCGAGCTGAGAGTATCTTCACAGATCCAACAGAAACATGTGTCTCATCGCTTTTGATATTTTTTTCATGATAAAAAATAAAAAAAATATTTCATGATTCCCCCTTTAATGCCTATTAAGGAAAATTGATCTTGAATCAATGAGTTTTGATGAAAAAGATCAACATTGTGCTCCACATTGAAAAGCATTCTGATTTTTCTTCTGCATTTGATTCAAATTGAGGCTCTGCTGATTAGATATTTTTGTCGTGGTGATTCCTGATAGATCCTTCAGATGGTTTTCATTACTCACACGTGTGAACTTAACACCTGTCTGTCCTCCACCTGTTGATATTCATCACTAAGACAAACACGCTCTGTCAAAATCCAAACACTAAGTGCAACACACGAAGTATCTAACATAGTACAAAGTAGGAGAAATACGCATCTCTGTATATACATGTGTCGCTGCTGGCTGCAAGTCTGACATCAGACATTCAGCCAAAAGAGCTGATTTACATCATTCTAATGAAAAACCTCACCTCCAGAAGATGATGGTGACAGACAAAGGAGAATCAAACCCAGCACGGCTCTTCTGGACACGTTCATCTTCGTCGGAAGTAGCAGTAGCGTTGAAGAGCTGCTTCTTCTTGGTGCGTTGGGGTGCTGTGAGCACTTGTCTTGTCTAACTGGACACAGTCTCCACTGTTCAATCGCAGGTTTTCTGCTTCAGCCCATCTGCCTCATCCTTCAGACTGGACGCAGAGTTGGAGGTTTGCTGCTCTCTACTGTTCATGTGTGAACTGCCTTAAATCCACATTCAGTTATTATTAAATCAACACTGAAAGTGCACAAAATGGGGGAGGAGACTACACATAAGATATTAAAATTTGTTTGAGACACTTGTATGTTTGAAATCCTCAATCAAATTGACAAGTATAATCCAAGTAAATAGAAAATGCAGCTTTGAAATGATGATTTCATTTGCTAAGGGGAAAAAAATTATCCTATCTTCCTGGGGCCACGTGAAGAAGTAATCCTCCCGCAAACCTGCTATATGGTTATGTCACTACTGGCAGGGGCAATCAGCCATTTGTAATAACTGTAAATGAGTCTTTCACATCACTGTGGAGGAATTTTACCCACTCTGCTTTGTAGAACATGCAGCAAACTGAGAAACCAAGAGGAGGCTAAATACTTTTTACAGCACTGTGAATTGGTTTACCGCCCTTTAATGTAAGCAAGATAGACTTTATATGCTAGGAAATGAGATTCATATGTATAATAACGATTTTTAAAAATAGTTGAGTGTTGAACTGCACACACAGACAGCAGGGGGCATCTGTTTCTGCTGTGGTGAACACCATACAAGCAAAAAGAGATCATGCTAAAGGATGTTGACTGACTCTTAGTCAGTGTGTTGCAACTCTGTTAAATGTGGACTCACAGACAGATTCACTCATTTCAGAGCAGAGGATATCACTGCCTTGCATGAACTTCATAACAAACATTTATAAAGCTGCTCGGAAATCAGGGAAAGACTTCAGTTCCCACAGTTTTATTCTCCTCTGGTTTAGTTTTAGTCTGAATTTGTCTTCAGTCTGACTTTGATGATAATCAGACTTCTCTGGTGAAATGACCCCCATGGCTCTGAGTTGTGTATTTACACAACTAACAGAAGAAGACGGCCGTAGTGATAGACGGAGCGGTTCCGAACGACAGCAACATCAGGAAGAAGGAACACAAGAAGCTGGAGAAATAAAAAGGCCTCAGTGAAGAGCTGGAGAAGATGTGGAGGGTGAAGGTAACAGGACCAGCTAAGCGACTGCGCAGGACCCTCAAGCTCCCAGGCGGTAGATATTATCATATAATTATAAATTATTATTGTAAAATAAGTGGATTTTATAAATATCCTGAACAGAAATGTTAAGTTATTTAATTGCAAAGATGGTGACTAAAGTTTTAATTTCAGGTGGAAAAAATTGATTTTATAATTAAGGCATAAAAACTGTACTGGACCAAAATCAGAAATGTGCAGAGTGCAGCAAACAGGTAATATTTTAGGTTGTTCATTTGATGTAAAACTGCTTCCAGGTTTGTTACACCAACTGTTTCACTTCATAGATGCTTTTCTGATCTAGTTATTTTTTTTCTGAAAATCTAAAATTTTACAATCCTACTATTTATCGTAATATGATTTATCCTAAGGTCCTAAAGAAGAACTTTACTTACTTGGACTAACATGAACAAAGAAAAAAGTCAAAAAATGCTTGCAGCGTCTAGTGCTTTCAACTAGGACGTCTTGAATTATTGCAGTCAACAGTGAGAGGACATTTATTCTGTCGGCATCTGTAGCTCTAGTATCTCGAGTAGCCAGAGCTGGAGATTTTTATGAATGGGAGTCACTGGTAGGATCAAGAACAAGGGTGACGGTGCTGTTGGCATTTGGAAAAAAAAGTGAAAGAAAACATATGGCATTAATTCTATTTTAATTAAATGCTTATTTTGTATTATTTTATTATAATTTAACATGTACTTTACAACAGAAAAAACACATGACATGCTGCGCAAAGTATTCCCTTGATTGCGTAGTATGTACATTTGCTGTTACTATAACTCCAAAAATGGTGCTCCTGTGTGGTAACTCGCAAAAACAAAGAGAATTTTGTTTTTTCAAAGCAGTTTTATTTATTTAACTTCACTTCTGGACATAATTGGCAAGCTAATGTAACAATATCTATCTGTCTGTATATTGTGAAAATGATATTAAAAAAAACAACCAAATAATCAACTCTGAACAACCTTTCCAAATAATTCATACACCACATAGTCACATGACATTTTCCAAACACCTTTCAGACACAAATTAGCAAGCACAATGCAAGAAGAAAGGAAAAACTACTTCAGACTCAAGTCAAGTCTCAACAAATCATGTCTGAGATACTTCAGTTTATTTAGAAAAAAATAATATTGTTTAGTAATCACCAGTCCACTCCAGCTAAGTTCAGTGAATAGGAAAAAAACCCCACTTTGGTTTCCAAACAGACTGCAATGTGGAAACAAAAGAAGAAAGTGTGTGAGGCATTCTCAGACACAGAATTACAAAATTTTGCAAAATCAAGAAACAAATTCAAGGCTGGCAGTCAACCATAATAACCAGCTGGATGGACGTAAGCTGTGACACAGATTTGGAGGATAACTTTGGTCTGCTTCCTTACCGGCCTCTCTCCACACTGACAACTAGGCCTATTATAAAAAGAACATAATGGGTTGAACCTTCAGTGAAGCACCAAATCCAAGTGATGTAATTTGTTGACCCGCATGATGGAAACACATAATTATATAAAATCTACAGAGGGTTGTGCGATCAGCTGAGCGCACCATCCGCTCCGAGCTCCCTGACCTGCACTCAATCTACAGCAGGCGGTGCTGGACCAAGGCCAGGAAGATCGTGAAGGACCTCAGCCATCCCAACAACAGACTGTTCTCTCTGTTGAGGTCAGGAAAGCGATTCCGCTCCCTGAAGACCAACACAGAGAGACTGAGGAGGAGCTTCTTCCTGCAGGCGATACGGTCTCTCAATCACACCACCACACAGTACTGACCCACACATATGGTTCTTACACACACACTGGACTTTCTGGACTTTGGTTTTGCACAACACTGGTCACTATATTCTTCATTTCCGGTTAATGCTTGTACAGCTGCTGTTATTGTGTATATATTTATTTATATTTAGATTTCTTCATACATTCTTATATAGTTCTATATTGTGTATTTTGTTGTACAGTTATTTTATTTTCAACTTTAATTTATATATTTTATCTTATTCTTCCCAGTTAAATTTACCCTTCATTCTAATTTGTGTTGTACAGTTATTTCATTTTTAACCTTAATTTATATTTTATTCCTTCCTAGTTAAATTTACCCTTTTTAATTTTTCATATTTATTTCCTATCTTATTCATAGCCTTTTCCTTTTTTGTTCTCTTTAGGTCACGAGCAGTCGTCCAAGCATTTCACTACATATCGTACTGTGTATGACTGTGTACGTGACAAATAAAATTTGAATTTGAATTTGAATTTGAAAATCACATTTAGAGAAAGCATAATATTTCAGGTTCTTCCCATCTTAGGAACACACTAGAACATGTCAGCTTTGCTGGTTGTTTTTCCTTTTTTACCCCTCATGTTACTATTTTATGTTTGGTATAATAACTAAAAAGTAAAACTGGCTTTTTTAAATGGGTTTTGATTTAATATTATGAATATTGAAAGAAACAGAAAATATAAAAGGGATAGCAGAATTTTTGAATTGTAAATATAAAAGCACTAATAGAAAAAAAGCCCCAATTGAAGTCTAAGAGAATGCAAGAGTTAACATCACATTGGAACTGTGAAAACTGGAGTAATGTCTTCATAAACTGCACTGTGAAGAGTGAAGTAGATAGATTAGATGAGAATCGAATATGTTTATAAATGGAGTACTGAAACACGTCTATTGGAGATTATGTGTCGGAATTTCAGGGGACCACGCCTCCAAACACGCTCCTTCCGTTTGTCATCTATATAGGTTCCCCCAGTTCTGCAAGCTGTTCATTCTTGTTTATGTGCCGCACCCTCCCTCCTTGTTCTCAATTCTTTAACTTCTTACAGTTTTTTCTGATTGCTTAAGCACATTTTTTGTAACTATTGGCTAATTTTGCAAAACTCTTCACACAAATAAGAAAACCTGTCACCCAATAATCAAAACATTGTAGTTCTCTTGCAAAAGCAAACACAGCTAGGTTAACTCTTCACACCTTCGTAAAAATGGTGTTTCCGTATCAAACAGTACACACAAGCCATCATCTACTAAGCACACAATGCGCCAACTGCACACTGATGGTATGAATACAAAACACATCTGGCTTTTGCTGTCTCTGTGCACAAGGTAGGCTATGTCAGTTTGAGCTCATACTTCTGTCATAGATCCATAAGCATAGAGGGATCCAAACTTCAAGTACTGGTGTTTATTCACACACATCAAAACAAACACAAGTGTTTATTTCCAAGTATAGGATTATTTGCAATCGCCATAATGACTATATGGGTTACTTGGTCTGCAGTGAACATGCTTCCTCTGCCCCCAGCATCTGGTCACCTAGCAATTCTGTAAAGTAACAATTTCAGTATTTTTACATCAATGGTATTGGTGTGTTTCTCATTGGCATATGGCAGTGCTACAAATCTTTGTGCGAAGTGACTGTACTAAGCGATTCTCATTTCAAGATGTCCTTATGGTGCTTGCTACAGTGTAGCGGCTCGAGTTAGGCTGGACCCGTTGGCCAGCTACCCTCAGGGTCATTCCACGGTTGATTACATGTCATCAGCAATTCTATTTCTTACTCTTCCTACCCTTCCTCTCCCCCCTCCTCATCTTCCTCTCCCCCCTCCTCGTTTTCCTCTTGCTCCTGCTTGTCCTTGTCATCCTCTTCATCCTACTTCTTCACCTCCACGTCCTCTTCCTCGGCCTCCTCTACTTCTCACTCTTTCTGCTCCCTTCATTGTACTCCGCACACACAGCTTACCTGTATTATAGTGCTTAGGCTGATTGCAAAGTGAACTAATTATCTAAAAAAGTTTTCACATGTGAAAGTGTGCCAGACAGTTGGCGAATTAGTGTTAAT